TCTCACTAAAATCACCGGTATATGAAGTCAAATATTAATGCAGTTGGTCCTTCGGCATTTCAAGATCACCACATTTAGGTAAATTTCCTCCCACTGAAATCACCGGTATTTGAAATGAAATATCAATGAAGTTGGCCCCTTAGCATTTCAAGAAACTTTTAAAAATATTTCGTGAGCTCAGGAATGGCCATAAGAACTTCATGGTTCAGTATCTAGGAAGGTCGGTTCTCCATAAAAATGCTGAACCCACATTTAGGATAAATTCCTCTTACTGAAAACACCGGTAGTTGAATGAATGAAGATGGTCACTTGGCATTTTGAAAAACTCGTAAAAATATAACCGAATCTAAGGAATGTTCACAGGAACAATTTTTCAAGTATCGGGGAGGTAGCTTCTCCGTGAAAATGCTGAACACCACATGTAGGTATTGAAACCACGGGTTTTTTTTTCTTACATATCACTGGAGTTGGTTAGTTGGCGTTCTCGGAAACCTGGAAAATATTTTCTGATCTCAGAAATGGCCATAAGAAACATCCTTCAAGGCGCAGTATCGGGGAAGGCCGGTTCAACATAAGAATGCTGACCATCATACTTCCAAGTCTACGTACTCCCGACTGACGAGGAGCACATCATGCTGTAGACTGAAACTGATCGATGTGTCGGTCCGGTTTATGAAAATCAAAAATACGAACAACTGTTGCTCATATTCGGTTTTAGTACACGTCATTGCACTGTTTCTGTTCGTACACTACCAAGGATAAGTTCGGGAACACATAAATGAAAAATTAAGGTCTACATCACCTAGCCTATCTGACCTTGATGTGGAAATGAAGGATAAAATGATATGATGAATAAATGTTTTTTTTTTTTTTTGTTTGCTGTTGTCTGATGACGGCTAAGACCATGGTTGGTCCATCTTGCCATGAATAAATGTTGATGATAATCTTTGCAACTTTCTAGAATAATGTTGTAAAGTACCTTTTCGCTGATGTTAGATATGAGAGATACATGATAGTGAAACATCAAGGGAACCCCACATTTATGAACAGTAGTGTACGCTAAGCTGAGGACGTTCTTCGCGAAGCAAATAAATATTTCTTTCTTCTGAAAGTAGGGATGATCACTTCTCATGAGAATGATATGCATCGTAGTCGCAAGTAATTGTCGCTTTTCATATCTGCCGGAAGTTGACTGTTACACTATCTATATAAAGTTACCGAGGTTTGTCAAACAAACCAAAAACTATTACTATTACTTCTATGACAGATAATGCGTCAGTATAATTCGATAATCGCTAAACAATAAAATGATAATGTGATTATCGGGAGGTAACGATAACCGATAGTTGCTAACCATTTTCATTCCAACATTATTTCAAGAGCAAATTTTCATTACGTCGAATGTAACAAAGGTAAACAAAGTCGAGCTATCAGTGTCAATCGATTCTCCTGCTATTACACTATATACTGTCCGAATATAGGATCAAATCCCATTTTTAAATTTATTTACCAGTCAAATTGCTTTTTGACGTAATCACCTTCCGATCAAAATAGTTTTCGATGTTACTTAAGTCACCCAATTTCTATGGATATGCAGTTTGACTTAAGTAACAGCTCTGAGAAACCCGTGAAAAGTGTACGTTCGTCGTTTCGCTTTCTCATTATTAAAGTGAATAAATCGAACTGTTTGTTGCTAAGATGATTTCGGTGGTCCTAAAATGATGAATGGGCTGCACGTAAGGAGACGTAATTGATAATTCTCCCGAATATCCTGGTAAATACACTTTGACTTAAGTAGCAATAGGGGCCACCAAACGACGTATAATAACTTTTGACTCAAAAACCAGTATTTCTTAGCATGGAAGCTAGCGATTTGCCTTTGTATGATTAAAACCCGGCTGAATATGTTAAACATTGCTATCACTATGAGATTATATGTGTTTAATTGGAAATAGGAATAACTTTTCGGTCATCAAAACAAAACTTTATTTTTCTCGGATCGGTGCGAATGTTACTTACGACATAATGAAAATTTGCTCTTGATTTCAGGAGTCTTTTAGTGTAAAATTTATAAATTATAATCATGAATGTCTCAAAATACAGGTTGCTCTGATTTTTTTATATCGGTTAAAAAATTAGCGGAAGCGATAATTGCTATCGAAAATATTCCTAGTGGATTAACTAAACTGTGCCCAACTCTGAACGAAGCATTAATTTTTTACAACAGTTGAGTATAGTATATAATTATCACGTTTTCACTTTATCAATAAATGTTACTGACATTTGGAATAAAGCAATTGCCTATGTTGTAACTAACTGATGCATTTTTTTCTGCTGATATAAGTTATGCAAAGTTTCAGAACTCATCATAGCAAAGTCTTGTCATTATCGGCTGTAATATCGTAATTATTAATTGAATCAGCTCGGTGAGATCTACATCTTACAACAAATCACACCGTCAATGGGGACTCTATCCGCATCGCGGAGCTTTTTGAGGTATTGGCAATTATACCATATGAAGTTTTGAATGTGATTCCTAGATACGGAAATCAATAATACCTTATGTGTAGATTATATAGTCAATATCAAAGTGGGAGGATATTTTGCTTATTGCTTGTATTGCTTCCCAAACAATATTTATATGTTTACTCCAAACAAAGAAAACACAAGTAACCTAGCTAGTTTCATCGACCTGCAGAGAACACTATGTGAAATGGAGGATGTAGGGAAAGGCATTTTATTTCTTGATGACCTTTTTCATTATCAACAACTTGAATTATATTTTGCTAAACATACGACACCACTATTCGCATGCTTCAGTCAGCCGTCCGCAAAAATCATGTGAGCCGAAAGCTCCTCGCGCGCATTCGTGTTTAGTACAGTTTTTTTTCTTTCCCATGCCTTGTTCGCCATGTACCGGTATATCGGGAAAATGGTATGCATGAAATGAAAATGGAAAAACGATGCGAGGAAAGTCGGAAAATTGTACTTTGGATTACACCAAAAGATTCCTGACATTCTCACGAATCTTCTAGTATATAATTATCTGGTACTTTAGAATAAAGATCACGAGCTATCAGAGGGGAAAGATAGAACATGGTGTCTACACCTATGCAATCACGTGGCCGGAATTGGGTGGTCTTCATGTCGGAAAAACAACCCAGTTTTTTTGTGGGTTGGATTTTCCCAAAAATTTTCCAACTATCATCTTGCCAGAAAGTTATGCTAGAACGTAGTGTGCTTCGATTTTTCGATTAGCTTATTTTTCCAGCTCATTTTTGCGGGTTTTCCTAGATGTTCTAAAAAATTCCAGCAAGGGAATAATATCAATAATACTTCCAGACGGGGGCCTTAATGAAGTGATTGAATGGAAACATAACAAAACGGGTCAGTCGGTGACAGGGAGGACGCGATGTTGTTTTTAATACCACACAAAAAGGACCTTTATGGAGTCGCATTCAATTCCGAAACGACAATGGGGTGTGTAATGATCTGCGTTCTATTAACTTTTCATTAAGGGTGCAGAGTAGGAGAATTGCAATCAGTTTTCCCAGGTGTTTCATCCACGTCTCTTTTTTCGCTTGCACGGTGGACAATTTTTATTCCGCGGTTTTTCTCCAAGTACCCACACCCCAGCGGACGCGGTATCGATTGAATTGTTCTACGGGTGTCAATTTTACCATGTGGAAAACTGTTTCTAGCCTTCCGGCCTCCAGGGGGCTCCGTTGCTCGTTGTTTAAAAATAGATGTTTCAAACGTATGCACACATCTATCGTGGCAAAATACGATAAGTGACGGCACCCGGTGGGTGATGATGACAAAGTTTTTCCATTCCCGGATGCCATTCTATGGAGACTATGTAATCGTTGCTTCGCCAATGCAAGTTGTGTTCGGATACGTTTCTACCACCTACGTATATCAAGCTAAACAATGAATTAGGTCCTAAGTAACATTGATCGATTCTCTTCATCGACTTTCTCTTTCGTTGATAACTTGGGTACAGAACCGTTTCTTGTCGTATTAGAAGCTAGATAATAGCACATGGCCGTGAGGAGAAAAAGAAAGTCGACGAAAAGAATCTGTCAATGTTACTTAGGACCTGATGCATTGTTCAGCTTGATATACTCAATGTGGGAGCTTTGATTACTGGGGCGATCGATAAGCCCTGCATCAGTATTCAGCAAAATGAGGTCGTGGTTTGCTGACAGTTTTTCAGGAGCCGGATGAGCTTAGGGGGTGAAGTTCAATGGGAATCGCTATCATGATAGCTTTCAAAAAATGCGACTGATTATTGCACTTGAATCAATTTTCGGGAGTAATCATTTGACTTTCTCTAGCTTTTCCGTGAAGATGGAAAGAACCCGAAATCCTAATTTGTAATTTCTTTTTTTTCGGAATTCAATATTCAAAACCCTCCGAAAATGGAGTAACCAAAAATTGTACTTATGAATTAAACAATCGAGCAATCGAAAATTGAACAATTGAATAGTAGAATCATTGACAACTGAAAAATTTAAATAGCAGCTGAAAGTGGATTTAAATCTATGCGTGAAGCTGTGCAGGCAAATAAATCGATGTGTAATAAATAAGAATAAATACTGCAAAACAAGACCTGATTTCAGCAATATCGTCGTATACATCGTTGGATAATGTTCTAGGAACCCATAGCGGATCATTTGGCAATTGAATGCTATTAGTGATAAAAAAAACGTTAACATGGTACACCATTCATAGCAGCAGAAAACCATGTTGATAAAATTAACAACCGAAAAAAAACAACAACACCTCAATCAATTCGTACCCAAATCCCATTCCACAGCCGGCCATGTTGCTCAGTTTAATGGATTCGAAGAAGCGGAAATGAATTTATAAATCCCTCCTCGTTTACTCATTAAAAAGTAATTGCAATCTGAAATTTATCCCCAGTTAATAATTACCTTTTTTTTTCTCGTTTGCGTATGTTTTCATTTTCCATGTCATTTTCTCTCCCGTTCCCGCAGATACGGCCGCTGGGTAACGCGGCGGGTTGCCATCGGGACGATTGTCGTCATCTGGCTGCTGGCGGCGCTGGTCTCGTTCGTGCCGATCTCGCTCGATCTCCACCGGGACAAGCGAGACGAAACGGACACCTCGCTCATCATCAACGGCGTCAAGTACGAAACGTGCGCCCTGGACCTGACGCCCACCTATGCCGTCGTTTCTAGTTGTATAAGTTTCTACGTACCTTGTATAGTAATGATCGGTATCTACTGCAGGTGAGTGTCCATCAGCTCGAATTCCGGGATGATTTATTGCTACCAGTTAGGATAATAGCTGCTTCCGCTCCAGCAGACTGACTCGACATTTTCTAATTCCAGTAATTTCCACTATCACGCATTTGCTTCACAGTTGTTCACAGTTTGTGTAGTGATCCCATTATTAATACTACTATAATGAAAGTTTGTAGGCAGATAATTGGCAACCTGACCCGGTTGATGTTCCCGTTATTATTGTTGCCCCTGCTCATCTTGAGCTGCCGGAGATTAGTTGCTATAAATCTAATCTTCCAATTACGGACCATTCATTGTTTGCCAACCATAGCCGGACCTAGTCTCACAGTTTCATTCCGGAGCCAACAGACAAGTTTAATCATCGAGATTTTCCCGTCCTTTCGAATCTTCTGCTCCGGACCGGGAGGATGATGCCTTGATTTAAAACCCTTGTCTTCGGGATTTCAGATCTCGCCTCACGTCTCCCCATTTAGCATACTCCGACACGCCTGCCGATAAGCTTACAAGGGTCCTACATGAGCCGAAGCCGAACCAGAGCCTTGCAAAGGCGTGTTGTAGTGGAAAATTTACATCCCACCTCCATCATCGACCTCGTAAGTCCTCGGATTCAGAAACAAGGAGTGAGCATGACGGCAGCATCAGCAGCAGAGCAAAGTGAAATGGTCGTAAATTTAAAACATAACGACTATCGGGGATGCTTTACGGCGCGTCGTTGAGTTGATTGGGATCTAACCCCCGAGGGCTGCTGTATCGTCTCATCACTTCCGCACTTGTGGGTTGTCAAAATTTTACGGTGCTGATTATCAATTTGTTTAATATGCTTGCTAACAACTAGATCTACTCAAGTTGATAGCATGGATGAAAATGTGATACATACTTATAGAAGCGGGTCAGGACTACTTTCCGTGATTAACTTGTGACCGTGAATTTGGGCTTGTTTTGGTGTAAAAAAGCCATTATTCACACTTGAGTGAAAATAGATCTGGCTTGATGGAAAGAGTACTTCCCAGTGTTACATATGCTTTCAACTAAATATTATAGATGTGTCTCTTTAATAGCACATTATGAGATATAATTTCATGGCATATAATGTCATGTTAACCACACTGTGATTGACTAGCATGAGTGAAATGTAGGATTATGAGAATGAGCATGATTGACCACCCGCGGTTGCTTCTCCCTAATTAATCATTTTGTCAAGCTTCGGCATTCATGTTCCATCAGATGTCACTACTGTTGTTTACGGCGACCGCCTTCCATTCATTTTGACTAAACATGTTTTATGAAATTATTGAATAATAAGATATTATGATGATATTTTGTATGTGTAAGTAATATGAATTGTAAAGTTTGTGTTTCACACAACAAAACTGCAAATTTAGCTTTGACAGAGTCACAATGAGCGTTTTTCTGATCGCCTCTTCGCGAAGAGTGAAGAGCGAAGAGTGGGTGAGATAAATTACAAAATCGCTTATTGCGACTCTCATGTAGCAAAATTGGCAGGTAATATGTGTCAAACACAAACTTAACAATCTTTTCTTGTTGTTTACATAATCAAAATATTTTCATAATATCTTATTATTCCATAATTTCTTAAAACATTTTTTTAGTCAAAATGAATGGAAGGCACCCTGACGGTGACATCTATCGAAAATTACGTATAATCTGTTTTACGTTGATTGTTCACAAAGGATTTTGCAGTCATGTCTGGTATGCATTTAGATTAATTATCGAAGTCCCTCCTTTTTTACAAATTCTGCACACAAAATAGCACACCCCCAAGAGGTAATCAACTCGGTTCTGAAGCAGTCTGACAACAATAGCAACTGCGAGGCGGCGGTGAAATTTTTCAATCAACTGCAAGCGGAGGGCGGCTATTTGAAGACTAGTGGGGATTTTGCAAAAAAAATAAAAAATTGGGTTTACTTCAGGTGAACAACTTTTGAGGTGCCGAATGTGGTTCTGTTGTATGCCAAGGGAAAAGTTTGAAGGGCTAAGGATCGGGTTCAGGTTGTCAAAATGTGCATAATTTGTTTTACAGAAAGCCTAATCTAATAAATTGTCTAAGAATGTTCAATTGGGTATCATAATATTTATTGAAATAATTCAGATTATTTAACCAAGGTGAGTGACTAGTGGTGCCGTAGATCGCTCATCCGGGAGGAAGGTACCTGATTTGTATGACGCTATGTATCTGGCCACCCTGTGTCATTGACCCATGCGAACCGTGATTACCGATATTGGAAGCTACAGCGGAAACGCCAAGCAAGTGTTCGTTGCTAAAGTGGATGACCCTGAGAGTGACCTAGCTATTGCTGTTGCTGGTGATGATCTTGGCGCTGGTATTTATTTATTTGACAACTCTTGCAGGGAATTGGAAATCCGAGCAAAGTATTTGTTTTTCTGCTAATCCGAAAACCAATCCTTTAGTCCGATGGTGTGTCAATTTCATCCTGAAGTGAAGTTCGACGACTGTCAGCAAAAAGCGAAACCTTAGCAATTATTGGAACGACGATAGCAAACAACCGTTGTATATTATATTTTGTGTCATACTTGTTAAAGTGTGCCCTAACCGTGTGTCGTGATGTGTTTCGGCACAGTGTTCAGAGTTGATTACCCCTTGCTCATGGCATGTTGACAGATTGAGGTCGTGAGAGCAAATGTTCTCTCTCAAATTTGAATTTATTGGCTCTTTCTCTTTGGCTCATGGTAGTAAAGCAGGTAAAACTGTATGGTGAAAAAACATTTTTTTTAATTGTACTTGTTTAACAATTATCTCCGGGAAAAACTCAACGACAAAGTCCCTGACTTACTTATTTAAGATGGCGTTCACTTTTTTGACCTGAATATGCACCGAAAGCGAATTATTTCCACTTCTCTCGATTTCTATATGATTATAACGAGGGGGACAGTGACAAATTTAGAGCAATCTTGAGTTACTCTGACAAATTCTCTTACTCTCTGAGCGAACCTTCTCATTGCTAGTGGATTTTTGCAAAAGGTCTTATTAATTTCTGGACATCAATTTGAGCTTAAGGTTCGCTTAAGACATTTTGAAATGTTCATAACAAACAACAGCCGATGACTTATATTTCACAGTGGATGATTTTAACAGTCTTGAATACTAAAATCCGAATCGAGATGCAGAATAATTTATCCTCAATATCGGAGGACCGATGGGAACAGGTCAAATAAACCAGGAGGCTGGCAATCCCATATCAATCCTATACGTTTGACAGTAGGCAAGATCACGGTCCTTCTTTAAATACGGCCCGCCTGACGTATACATGATGGAAATGGACAGATAATCGTGTTATAAGCAAAGATACAAGAGCAGATGATAGCATCAAAAATATGGCCGCTTAAAGGGCCATCCACATTAGATCCGTTTGCGTTCCGTTGACGTAAATTTGAGAGTAAGACAATAGATTTAGCTGACAAAAAGTTCGGTTTCACGATAATAAACAAATTCGCAATACACGCTATTTCAAAACTACCTAAATTGGAGTAGAATCGATCCAGATCGATCAAAACTGAACATACCCAAAAATGGGTAAACTGTGTTGGGAGTGACAATTTGCCAAATGAACAACATTGACATGAATCCGTTCGACGTTTTTTATTTGTCAAGCATGTAAGCGGAAGAGGAAACAGAAGGGGGCGACTCTATCTACGATGCAGGAAACATTGTGTTTTGCTGTGGTTAGCTACGCGCACGCTGAGTAGATAGAAAGAAGATTGATGGCGATTCTGAAGATTTCCTTCAAAAAATATGATGCGCGAGGCAAATAGATGCGAGAAATCAAACAAAATTTTTCGAAGATTGATTCGCTAGTGTGAGATTTTTTGAGTATCTATAATTGACATTTAGATATGTCACCCCCCTCGGAGGAAACCACAAACGACAATATCTCGCGTAACATTTGAAAAGGGTCTTCAACCAAAATGTTAACAAACCAGAAAATGGATTACCTAGTTAAATAATCTCTGTCTTTTTATTGGCCTTTAAGGTGATACTCTAAGGAAGCCTTAGCGTGAAAATTTAAAGGCACAAATGTCAGCTTGCACAAAACATACAAATTTGAAATTGCTACTCCTTGTTTGCTGTGCTACTACAAACAGAGAGTAGCAATTTCAAATTTGTATGTTTTGTGGAAGCTGAAATTTGTGCCTTTGAAGTTTCACGCTACACGCTAACTTGAAAGTACCCAATAAATGAGAACCTTGTACTCATTTTTCAATTTATTCTAAGCTGTCAAAAAAGGGGTATTTTTACAAAATGAAAAATGTATACTTTTTATTCATTTTTGAGAATATCCGCTTGAAATAGAAATGGGTAAAAAATTCATTAATATTTCAATGCAAAAAAGAGACGCCATTTTTGCATATCAGGAGTAATTTTAACGTATTCGGGAGTTATCGTGAGTTTTCCAACTATGGAAAGAGCGGCACAGCTAGTTGTTACAAGGTAGGGATTATATAGAAGTACGATATTCATAACAATCGTTCTAATAATGTGTTTCGTTTCAGGTTTGCAGAGATCTTCGAAGAAGTTCACTATCACAAGGTACCGGACCCATTCGATGGCATCATCCATTACGAAAACTGTCAGAACATTCATTTGTTGCTGATCATCCTGAGAAAACTGCATGAGCTGCAACCGACACATCGGAATCGTGATCGGATGGTGCAGGCCATTGAGCACAATATTTCAATTAATTTTTCAGGGAGAAGCTTCCGCCAGGTGAATTTTTTCAGCTACGGTATTAAGAACGTGGATGGAACTCTGGAGAGGTTTTCCGCCCTTTTAGTCGTAAATTCAACAAACAAAATTTAATTGCAATCGTTGATGATCAATATACAATGTAAAGAGTTTCAATCCTTTAAATTTGTTTTTTTTTCACAATGTATCTCTTGGTTATATCTCTGTTGACAGGGTGCCCTATGAAGCAAAATTTTAAATAAAATGGGTACTTTCTACTCAT